CAGGCTGAGCCGATTCAGCAACCGATGGGACATCAGTTGCTGTAGTTTCTGCTTCGGCGTCCGCACAGAGACGTGCAGACGCGCTCTCGGCGGCCTTGCTCGCGCATCGCATGGGCTTGTTTACCATGCGATGAGATGTTGGAAAGTGGACGCGGACCAACAAGTGCAAACCCCGTCCCAAATGATTTGGGACGAGTATCCATTTAGTCAATCAGTCACTAAAGTGACTGATGGTTAAGGGGGGTGATGTAACGGGGTGAATCGTTACATAACAATTTATAAGAAATTGTTAATAGAATATAACTATAAGAGTTATATTCTCAGAATATTGTCATAAGGACAATATTCTGTAGCACTTCCAAGTAGTTCCTAATTGGTTGATATAGGCCATTATATCAACCAACGAAGACGCGCCACGACAGACGCACGCAATGAGTGGTGAGCAGATAACTGATTTACACATTTGTATTTAGACATAGTTAGATGAAGATAAATAGTGATTTATTGCAGACATTAACTATTATAAATACAGTTCTACTTTTTACTCTAACCGAGTACTCGCTTCTTCTTACCGTCTTCCTCTGCACGTACGAGTGTACGTGAAGTTACGAGGCACCGCCTTATTCTGTTATCAGAATAAGTAGCTTGTACTGTCACCAGTACAAGCTTCAGGGTGCCCCGTTACATCGCTCGCATGAGCAGCTGGTAACATCCATAGACTAAGTCAAGTGCATTGCACAATGTTCATCTTACCATATTGTTCCACAACATAATTTCTAGGAATAGGCGTCTGCGCCGGTATAGTGGCTGCATTAAGCTTAATATAAGCATGCACAGTATTCCACTTGCCATTTATCTTCTTGACACAAAATGTCGGTGTCGAGTGCGGAGATTTACTCTCACGAACCACTCCAGCCGTGTGCTGAGCACAAAAGAAATCGTCAATGACGTCACACTGTTCTTCAGGCAAAGGCCACTACCGTATTACGCAGTATTTAGCTCCTGAAACTAAGTCAATCTCATGACGTACACCTCTATCAGGTGGTATGGTAGATGTTGGATTGTGACACACCACATCTTGAGTTTCCTTCATTAAAGGATATAACGGATCCAAAGGATCTTTAAGTATCGAAGATCCACTTCGTGCACTAAGTGCCGCCTTTGTGTTTTCTAGGACAGAATCATCCATTAGTGAGGACGAGTTCAGCATAGCATCGGGTCTAATGACCACTACTGCGGATAAATCTCCTGCCTTTTAGGCCTGGCTAAACTCGCCGTCAGACATTTCGATCAACTCACACAGAGCATCCAAAGATGGAAGGGTTTTATGGGTAACATTGCCACCAACCTGACCAGTCACTCCGTTAACAAGCGTATATAGTGCATTACCTTTCTCAATCATTGACTGTATGGACGCCTGGCTCTTTACAGTTGCTACCTGGCGTCCAAGTCGTCTCTTGGAGACCTTACACCCCTAAGGGGTCGGGACCATACCGTCTCCTTTACTACTAATAATAATGGTGCGCTCTATACTAGACTTGATGTCTTGACCGACCTCCGGTGAAGTGCTACATAACTCGAACTATTCACCCAGTGGATTTCGACCTGCCACTCCACGTACATTATGTGGGCCTAGCCTTGAACTGAAAGGCGTTTCGCCAACAACGTCATTACCAACATTGAGTGTGGTGCCTACACGGCCGACCACACTCGGTATAACTTCACGTGCCACCTCACACACATCAAAAGGAATCACTTTCTTGATAATTTCTCCCTTGACCAACCATGCTTTCAGCAAGCGGAGGCTCGTCATCACAGCGAGTAACACTTAACGAAGCACGTTCCGTATCACCAATATTCTACGAGCTACTCTCGGAATCTGTGTTTACAACATTGGAGTTAGACAACCCAGACATTCCAATGTCCAGCACATTAACATCTTCGGTCAAAGGCTCGCGCCAGTAGTGCTTCTTTGCCTAGCGAAGGTTGGTTCATGACTCTCCAAAACTACGCTAGGAAAGTTGCGCGTGGCGCTTAAGGTCTTAGACCTCCAATCAATCCATGGTTCATGGCGTTCAAACCAAGCCGAACCAAGAATGCGATCGTATCTCGAGTCCAAATCAAGGACAAGACAGCGTTTAATGCTGTCAAAGTTGATAAAGTGTATACCTAAGTTCAATGAAACTTTAGGCACAGTTACGCGACTTCCAGTCTTTAAACGAACCGTGATAAAATAACCCTTATGCGCTGTAAGTGCCTCAGCATAACGCTAGAATCCTACAAGGGAACGACGTCGAGCATAATTGTAAGACGCTCCAGAGTCGATCAATATCGACCAAGGCCTCTCAAAGCTCTTAATTTTCGCCTTGGCGACTAACAAGCCAGACTTGTATCCACGCTCCATACCAATGAGTACGGGTTTCTTTGGGTCCAAGCCCTGTTTAATTTTACCTCCTAAAGGTGTAACAGAACCCAGTTCTTCCCCAGTAGGACTCCCCGCGCCTACTGCGTGTCGGCATTTCTCTGCGCCATACCAGACTTCTGGCTTGATGTTAAATATTGGCTTGAAGCCTGACGCTGTTTACGCAAAGGCCAACCAGGCTGCAAGTGTTTAGTGCTTCCGCACGTGAAACATCGTCGTACGACGCGTTGCTGCTTAGCAATTTGAAATTCAACTTCATCTTCAGCATGGCTGAGATCCATCGTTTTTGGCCAATTAAAGACCGGACCACTCGTGGAATTTGCTTTCGCCGAGCTAGGGTTGTACCCATTCCAGCCAAGCCTGGTCGACTTAAAGTTGTAATCAGCATTTAGAGAAATTCTCACGGCCTCTTCGAAAGTAAAGGGGTGAACCCGAAAAACCTCGATTCTGGCAATGCCAGTACGAAGACTTTCCATGAAGATAGTCACATGGACTGCCTCAGGCACAAAGTCAGACTGCATTGCACCCTGAGTGTTCTCAACTCTTGGACATAGTCCGATAATTCATTCTTACCCTGGCGGGTAGAAAGAAAGCGTGAGCCCACGCTTCGGTAAGCTTGGTTAGGTGGTGAGAACGCCTGTACCAATTGTGACTTGAGCGACTCCCATGTGGGAAACGATATGTCCACCGAAGTGCTACACGTCAAGGCCCAGTCTCTAGCTCTACCATTGAGCTTCGAGATAGCCAGCGAGACCTGTTGATGGTCAAGCGTGATCAGACCTGATCTCATGGCCATCTCGATCTCACGGATCCAGAGGATGAGGTTCTCACCCTCCTTACCGGGGTAATTCTTAACTTCTACTCTAAGTGGACGAGGCTTAGCTTCTTCGTCTGGTACAGACACGTAGCGTGTAGGCATAGCTGACGCTATTTGGTCTTGGACCTGCCCTAAAAGGGTTGCTTCATACTGCATGAAGCTTTCAACACGTGCATTTAGCGCTTCAGGGCATTGTGAAACAAGGAACTCCACGTACTCTGGACCCAAAGATTCGGCCATCTTATCAAATGCGACCTTTTGGGCGTCCGAGAGGGGACTGGGGGTTTCCATCCCTACAGAGGATCAGTCTTATACACTCAGGCGTAGATTGATTACAAGTGCTGTAGCGGAGCTATACACCTCCTTAATTCAGAGGAAGACTTAACGCTCAACGAGCAACTTAGTTTTAAAGAACTAGACTCAATTAGTCAACAAGCGTAAAGCTTCTGGTCCTTGTTCCAGAGGACCCAACGATTCAATATATCGATAGCACTTCGTGCTCAAGAGTAACTGGCTACCTCAAGGAGGTGTTGCTAACTCTTAATGATTAGTGATCGACGACTAAAGACGCCTCGCAAGGCACGTGTCTTTAAGATTAAAAGGGAAACTGAATTTTGTTTACATTTACACCTATGGAATATCTTAATCCTAATCGATACACCTATGTCCTAAATTAGTACAACTAAGATCTCTCCTATCTGGTGGCTGACACCAGTCAGCCCCTATAAACCGATAAGATATTCTACGTCTCTTTTGGTAAGAAATCATCCGTGTTGTCTAATACACAGGCTACCAAGTACCCAACTGCGTGTTATTCCTTAAAAATACATGTTCAAGAAGGCCGACTTCATCATGGGAGTACAATCGTGTTTTTGGTAAGTGTCATAGTAACAGGCATTGATAACGGACGTACAGTCAGTCGTTTATTGGTCTCGACAATTTAGGCAGTATGCAAAAAGCTTAGAGGTAGCAAGAATATGCGAACTAAGGACCTAACAATTATATTCACTTCGGATTTATCTCCTACCCAACACAGCTACATTAGAAGAGCGATTGTGCATTAAAGCAGGGAACGATGTTAGCTCACGGTGACAAATGCACAGTTTATAACACCATTATCTGCTGATTGTTATGGTCGGCGCAAATGTATCGAGAGGTAAAGCGATCGGGGAGAGCGTTATGCCATCAGCACCGACGAAAGCATGGCAGATTTGACATGCTAACATGTCTGGTAGACTTTCGCATCATCCAACTGCTTTGACAATCTACCACTTCTACTGCTTTGCAGCAAAAGCGTAAGACACTGCGCGAAATGTGCTGCAATTCAGGGTTGGTCCACTTGCTGCACCTGATCTGCGGTGTACCTTCTCTGCTGTCGTAAACAAAGCTGGCTGGTTGTCTCCTCACACTGACATTGTCAGGGCCATTCATTGTACGGAAAGCGGAACGGACTTACTGATTGCCCGCACAAGCGATGGACAGCGGTGGTTACGTCTCGTTCTCTTACCACACATATGCAGGTAGCTCCTTCAAACACACATTTTCAACCGAAGGTTGTTGCCGCACATGTTGAACTGGATCGACTGTGCTGTCTAAAGTGAACACAACAGCTGTAACACGTTCAATCCATCTTTGTTAGCAAATGAAAGCTAACGGACTCATCCCACGCGTCCATCAATCTCGTAAACCAGTTTACCTCCATTCTACTCGCACCAGACGCCTCGGTGTGCTAGCTGGAAGTGGAGTCCCCGCAATGCAGATTTACGCCGGTGTGCCGCTCGTGGTGACGGTACCGTCGTACACATCCGTGATGCCAAAGCAGTTTTCCGCGATATGAGCAGGCACAGTCATGTCAAATGCAGGCATTTTAGCCATACACGACTTGTCCAGACGTGCGAGGTCACCATTGCAGGAGACGAACGAGGCCAGCAGCTCCATAGCGCAACTCGTTTCGCTCTCGCCGAATGCGGTATCATCAAGTGTGACGTGGCCCGAGAAGTCGAATACAACGAGTTCTTTTTTGAAGGTTTCGAGCGCCTCGTAAATGTACTCACTGTACTTGTGATGAGCCTGTACGTCCAGCTTTCCACTCAACAGTAGCACGCTGGCTTCGCTGGAAACGACAGCAGCCTCGTTCCAAAAGTGGTCCTTTGAGTATGCGATCGGATTGGCTTCGTAATTGCCGAAGGTATATTCCTTACACACCGGCGACGGGTCTTTCGTGTATGCGCAATACAGGGGAATAGAGTCGTACATTCCCAGATACGAGATGCTCAGGTTTTTGTGCTGAGCTTCCAACTCGGCGTAGGTTGGCATAGGATTAGGCGACATTTCGGAGAAGATGTTCATTTGGTAGAACAAATTTGAAATCAGAGCATCATCTGCGATTCCTCCATCTTGAGTGATGATCGTGAAGAAATGCGTCAAGATCTCCACGTCGGAAGGCTCGCAGCGATTGAGTCTGTAAATCACCGGTGGAATCGCGGAACGCATGGGCGGACCCCTGGCAAGCCCGCCAAGTGTCCGCCGAAGGCCACTAGATGGTTCATCCTCAGTGAAGTTCCGAACCAAGGTAGCGCATGTCGAGTTGGGATCCTTGTCGAACTTCGACATCACGTCATGAAGCGTGGTGGGCAAGGTATCAGTTTTGAAGTGAGAACTGCACTCAGTGTATTCAGAACACAGCTCCAAAAGTGCTCGCTCACTTCATTGAACTCAACGTCCCCTTTACCCAATATGTCTTCTTGTCCAACGGTACCACAGAGGCCGCGGGACTGTCCAAGACGTACCCAGTCACACCCAATGGATTCATCTGCATCAGACGTTGGATCATCAATGTTGCAGTGAGGCTTCTACCATACATGATATTACTCGCGCCATTTGCGAGCATGGGGAGGAGCGTGGCAACATCCATAGCTGCGCTTGTGACCGAGAACGAAGCGAGATCTCCATACTTGTTCTGCAGTTCCCGAGCACAAGCAGCCACTTCCGTGAGATCGATGTCGGCGCCAGACGGGGGATCCACTCGTCATTGCTTGCGATGATACGCAGTCCAGTCGCGAACTGCGTCCCGTGCCGCGGAGGTCCATCGTAAGCACGTTAACTGATCCATTCAGGCGCTTGTGTAGCGTCACCATCGAAGCTTCGGCTAGTGTGTACAAGAACCTTCAGTTAGTTTCAAATCAGTCAGAGCATGACACGAAGATTCGCTTGCTTACCTTCACTGGAGGCTCCACTTGCGAACATCCACACGTTCGTTGCATGGTCTGCGTAGGCTCCCGTGGCAGGCAGCATCTTGACGAACACGTTGATTGTCGGGTACACATTCGGCAGGAGCTTACAGACATCAGTGTAACACAACGGGACCCCAACGGTCAAGCACTGGGCTCGGTATTCCTCTTGCCCTTCACCGGCAAAGGTGTAGGCTGAGCAGGCGTGCCATCCGTTCAGCGGCAGCTCCGATGAGGTATTATAAACTGCCGAAGTTTGTCCAATCAAGCCAGCTGCGACAATGCTGAGCGCGTGATGGAGATGCATCTTCACTGGTGCTGATGTTGTCGAGGTCCACGAAATCGAGAAATGGTTCTTGTGTTCGCACGCCAAAAGCAATACCGTCGAACTGCACCGTAGCTCACGAGGCCATCGAGCGCCTGATCGAGAAAACGTCTCATCGCGGAACGATGGGACACGGCCGCGTGATGCACCCTGCTTCATCCACAAAAGCCACCATCGACAGGAAAAGTGCACGCAAAGCCGGGCGTGCTGATGTAGCTTCGTGGGCTTGTGTGTAACGGGGTGAACCGCTACATAACAATTTATAAGAATTTGCTAATAGAATATAACTATAAGAGTTATATTCTCAGAATATTGTCATAAGGACAAATATTCTGTAGCACTTACGAGTAGTTCCTAATTGGTTGATATAGGCCATTATATCAACCAACGAAGACACGCCACGACAGACACACGCAATGAGTGGTGAGCAGATAGTTGATATGCACATTTGTATTTAGACATAGTTAGATGAAGATAAATAGTGATTTATTGCAGACATTAACTATTATAAATACAGTTCTACTTTTTACTTTAAACTAAGTACTCGCTTCTTCTTACCGGCTTCCTCTGCACGTACAAGTGTACGTGAAGTTCCGAGGCACCGCCTTATTCTGTCATTAGAATAAGTAGCTTGTACTGTCACCAGTACAAGCTTCAGGGTGCCCCGTTACACCTGGTAGCACTTCGTAGTCCGTCCAAGGACCACGTTCACATCTAACATGAATATGTTGGATGATGAAGATGACCAAAGCTTTCACGCTACGCGTGACGGCCACTCCCATTTGAGCGATGTCGAATGGGATGCGGCTGAACGAATGGGTTCAACCATGGGCATCCATGCTGTTAGCGTCATGCTAGAGGCTCTCAATAGAGATGCCCAACATGCTACTATCGCCAAGTTCATTCAAAATGAACTTGACGCAGAACGCGAGAAAGTAGCCTTGCTCCACCAACAGGGTTCTAAACAAGCAGAGTTGTTGAGAGAACAAGGTGCTCAACAGTTTGAACTGTTGAGACAGCAGCAGGCTGCTGCTGGCGGGTCTATGCACTCGCGTCGACCCGAGACTTTGAAGATTGACATCTCCCAAGTATAGGGGGTCAAAGAAGACTCCCTCTCTTGAGATGGTTCGTCGAATTGATGACGCCATAAGGGCGCGTCGCATCAACGACGGGGATATGAAAGCTGCATTTGCCCAATCGAATTTGGCAGGACGTGCCAAGACTTGGGCACTGGGGCTCAAGTTGCACGACCCATATGCGTTTGGGTCGTTGGAAGTCTTCAAGTCGCGGCTCAGACAAACGTTTGAACCGCCTAGAGCTGAGTTCAGAGCTCGAACCGAACTCTTGAAGCTCAAACAGGGTAAGCGTGATGTGCACGCTTACGCACAACATATACGACATCTCACGAGTTGTATAAGTCTCCAATCCGGTGGATGAACACACGTTGGTTTCGGTGTTCATGCAGGGTCTTGCGGATGGTCCCGTCAAGACTCACCTGTTCCGGCTTGAACTACAGATTCACTAGAACAAATTTCCATTGCCCAGTAGAGTAGGAAGACTCTTTGCAGTTCTGAGACAGGCCTTCGCGCCAAGCTCGAAGACATCATATCGAATCAACCGAGACGATATGACAACGGAGGTCCAGAGCCGATGGAACCCTGTATATGTAGAGAGTGAGAAGGCTCGCTCTACAGGCTACAAGAAGTTGCAGAGATGCAACAGATGTCAAAAGACAGGACACTACGCTTACGAGTGAGTGCCCCTCGTCCAGTGTCTCGCGACACTGGGCGTAGTGACCGTCCACCCATGAGAAAGGGGCAGGGACGAGGGTCCGCAGTTGGTGCAAAGACGCAACAACGGGATGGACCGTCAAAAAACGGACAGGATCAGTAGGTGCGGAGCACCCTACTGATCCAGCAACGTCAAGAGAATTTGTAGGCCTCTTGATGAAGGTTGCTCCCAACACACAGACGTTGTGCGTTGCTGCTCTAGGTAATGAGATCTCACTCATCACCTTGAAACTCGAAGTGACGAAATAAGTTGTCCCTTCGAGCTCTAGTCGATTGTGGGGCGTCCAACAATTTTGTGCGACGCCAATCGCTAGAAGATGGTCACTTTAAATTCAGTGAATGTGACACACCTCCTACGAGGATGACGGTACGTCTTGCGACAGGCGCATCCGTAACCAGTCATGAAGCGTATAGTGAAGATCCACTATACGCCAGAAGATACCCAATACGACGATGACTTTATCGTATTGGATTTGGATGACAAATTTGATGTCATCCTGGAATACCGTGGCTCAGAAGGTACGAACCACGGGTAAACTGGCAACATCGGACAGTAACGATGCCTGCCGCTTGTTCATCAGATGGCCATCTGATGAACGTTTTGGAGCGTCCACAAGCGTGTGGATGTACTACGAGTGAGTGCGATGGCCTCACTTGTGGTACGGTCGTTAGTACGACTGCACAAAACCTTAGTGTACCAAACGGTTACACTTCGGAGCAAAGTTCCGGCGGCTGTGAGGAAACACAGGCTGCGCCGAAGGTCCACCACTCGAATAAGTCGGGTGGACTGGGACAAAGATGTATCCCTAGAGGGGAACATCTAGAAGAGAAACAATCGATCGCTCAGGTTAAGCGAAACGATAATCCTAGATCGACTGGAGAGTCTTTCGTAGAGGATCTCGCTGTGGTTGCGCAACCCCAGCTAGAGGAAGTAAAGGGAATAAGTCCCAAGATTACAAATACGGCGGAAATAAGTTCCCCGAAACCCGCGGGAATAAGTCCTCGGGAAGACGAAGGAATAAGTCCTTCGAAGCCTGAGGGAATAAGTCCCCAGGAAATGACAGAGACATTGAATGTCATAGTCAATAACGGATCATGTGTAGGCGCTTATACACTTGATCTGATTGCGCCTCCGAAGTTAACTTCGGAGATCACTCAGTTGCCAACGCTCGAACATAAAGGTTCTTGCGTGATCTGCGTAGTGGCAAAGTCAAGCAGATCTGCATACTCGTCGCTGACGACGAGTATGTAACCGACATAAGGTCAGCAACAGTGTTTACTGAGAACGAGAGAGTTCTCAGTAGTTCATCTATGGACGAGAGTGTCCTAGATGAAAAGACACGAATTGAGCGATATGAGTCCCAATCATGGGAATCGCTCAAGGAAAATCCTCTCTATGAGGATTTGGTTGAATTCAAGGATGTATTCCTGAAACTGTTCCGTGCGAATTACCGAAGGATAAAGGTATTCGACACGAAGTCGAGCTTAAACCAGGCTCGAAGTACTGTGTCATGAAGCAGTGGCCACTGCCTCGTGAACAGTACTTGCGATCGACAAGTTCTTTGCCGATCGTTTAGCAGCGGGCCATGTGAGGGAATCAACTTCCCCACATAGCTCTCCGACCTTCTGTGTGCGAAAAGCAACAGGAGGGTGGCGGATAGTGCACGCGTTTAACAAATTGAACGCTGCAACGGTACCGGCTCAGACGCCGATACCGAGGAAGGACGTAATCATTGATGGTATGTCAAAGAGTACCATCTTTTCGTCCATGGATTTGATGGATGGCTTCTATCAAATCCTAATGCGGGAACGGGATATACCCTATACCGCAGTTAGCACGCCTAGTGGCATGCTCTGGGAATGGCTAGTAATGCCACAAGGGCTCAGTAATGCCCCTGCCACGTTCAACAGGTGTGTATCACATCTGTTGAGGCCAGTACGAGAATTCGCGCCGAGTTATTTCGATGACGTATTCATCCATAGTCGAGCTATGGATGGAAAGTCGGACGTTGAGGTTCACAAGTACCACGTCCGACAAGTTCTTACAATCATGCGAAAGCATCAATTGTATGCAAACCTCAAGAAGTGTATATTTGCAGCAAGCGAAATACCACTTCTTGGGTGCATCGTTGGTAAGAACGGTGTACGTCCTGATCCCGAAAAGATCAAGGCGATCACCGACTGGCCCGTGCCGGTCGATGTCAAAGGTCTTCGAAAATTCCTTAGCTAGCGGCGTATTTGCATAAGTATTCACGCAATTACGCCGAGATGACTGTACACCTCTCTCGTTTGTTGAAAAAGAACGAGAGGTGGTTATGGAACGCTGAATGTCAACGCTCCTTTGAGGGTATCAAGCAGAGCTTGATACAATCCCCAGTCCTAGCAATAGCCGATCAGGACAGGCCATTTCATGTGGTCTGTGATGCCAGCGATTTCGCAATCGGCTGTGCATTAATGCAGTACGACCTTGAAGGCGTTGAACGCGTCGTCTGCTATCAGTCGCGTCAGCTGCAACCAGCTGAGCGGAACTATCCAGTGCATGACAAGGAACTCCTTGCCATGAAGTATGCACTCGCGAAGTTCAGAGTCTATCTATTAGGAGATAGACCCTTCGTTGTTTACACTGACCATGCGTCCTTACGCACGGCAGTGAACAACCCGCACCTTTCACAACGAATGGCGCGGTGGTTGTCATTCTTTGCAGAATACAACTTTACGGTCGAGTACAAACCAGACGACTTAATGTCGTCGCTGATGCACTCCTCACGTCGTCCCGACTTTGAAACAGTCGCGAAACCCAACAGTGAGACAGTCACTGTTGCGGTTATGACGTCCTCAGTTCCATCTACAACGTTGTATGATGATGTGAGGCGGGCATACGCCCAAGATGGTGAGATAGTGAAGTTGTTGTCACATCTCTCCCAACCATCTCGAGAATCGTTGAAACGATTGTCGTTCTGCGTATCGATCCGCATCAGATCGATACACTACTCGTAACGGTTTACTGTACTATACAGCCGTTTCTGGTGACACACCACGTGTTGTCATTCCAGATGATATTGATCTGCGTTTGCGGATCATGTTCGAGTATCACGATGCTCCTATAGGAGGACATCGTGGCCGAGAGAAAACATATCTCACGGTAAGTCGAGACTTTTACTGGCCCCGCCAGTATCAGTTTGTGCGAAAGTATGTTCGCGCATGCGAAGTCTGCCAACGAGTGAAGTCAAGTCCTTCACTGCGTGCACCTTTACAGCCTCTACCGGTTCCGGCTGAGTGCTGGGAATCCATCTCAATGGATTTCGTCTTCGGGTTACCCAAAGACGCACGCGGGAATACGGGTATTCTCGTATTTGTTGACAGATTCAGCAAAATGGTACACCTTGTGGCTGTACCAGAGACAATCACGGCAAGTGGCTGTGCTTGTGTCTTTATTGACACCATCTTCCGACTTCATGGGTTGCCCCGTGAACTCGTATCAGACAGAGATCCACGATTCACTGTTAATTTCTGGCGTTCCGTGTTCAAATCACTCGGAACGCGCTTGAAGATGTCGACATCTGATCATCCAGAGTCAGATGGTCAGACGGAACGTGCCAATCGTGTCCTTGAAGAGATACTTCGAGGATACGTACACTCCTTTAAGAGTTGGAGTGAGTTTTTGCCGATGGTAGAGTTTGCCATCAACAACTCGGTGCATGCGTCCACGACACATACACCGTTTTACGTGAATGGCTTGCGCCATCCGCGTGTACCCACCTTACTAGAGTGTAACTCTGGTTTAAGGGGGGAGGGACTCGCGCGAGCAAAAACCGATTTGGTTCACGCTCATCACGCTCTGACGAAGAGGTCATTGCGTTTGATGCCGATATCGATAACATCGATATCGAAGAAGATGATGCCAGTGAGAGTGCGAAAGCCCTCACTGAAGACAATGATGTCAGTGAGAGTGCGGAAGCCCTCACTGAAGAAAAGGTTGTTGTTGCTGCAGTGCGCTCACAGCACACTGAAGCTAACGAGTCATCAGATGAGTTCATACTGGCTCGTGAAACGGTAGTCCGTTTTGTGCAAGACTCCATCGCCGAAGCGGTGGATAAGCAAAAGCAAAACGCTGACAAGAATGGAAGGGCAAACACTCTTGAATTTAATAAAGGTGACTTAGTCCTACTGTCTACGGTTAATCTACCAAAACATGTAGTGACTAACTTGGGTAGCAGTAAACTACTACCCAAGTACATTGGCCCATTTCGTGTATTGCACCGCCTAGGCAATGCATACACGATCGAGTTACCACGTAAGATGCGAACGCATCCCACGTTTTACGTTGGTCGGCTTAAGCCGTACCATCAGTACGCTGCTTCTTCCGATGAAGAACGCCCTTGCGCTCAAGCATCTCGCAGAGAGCCTTGTGCTCCCGATGGTGGGCATCAACAAGGGTCTGAAGAGCAGTTATCTCAGCCCGAGACCGATCAACAATCCCACGAGCTACCCTTAGCTCGTCACGAAGAGATGTCAGAGATCTCTCGTTCTCAAGCTGAGCAAAGGCAAACTCAGCTCGATGCTTCGAGGCAGTGTCCACCATCTGGAGACGCCTATTCCGCTCATGCTCGAGATCGTCGCGTAACCCTTGCGTTACGCGATCAAAGAAGCTCTCGGGAACACACCGATCCACATGATCGTGTGGAGAGCGTCTTTCCTCCTCCCCTCCACCTCCATTAGAGGACTCTCGCGGTGGCCAGCGCTATCTAGTTGAGCAGCTGTTGAACCACCGCGACGTGAACGGACGTCGGACGAGTTACCTCGTCCGGTGGCGCGGCTATCCCCCGTCCTGGGATTCTTGGGAGCCCCGCTCCCACTGATGGTTGACGTACTGGGTCTGGTCGAGCAGTACGACGCGACACATCCTGTGCCGCAGAAGGACCGCCGGAGAAAGTCTTCCCGGCACGGTCGTAAAGGGATTTCAGGTTGTCAATCCCTTCGTACATCTCAGTAGAGACACGTACGCGCCACCACGGGCTGGTAAGGAGGTAAGCCTCCTTAGGTGCTCGTGCAGAGTTGTTCACACAACATGGGCACGAGTCTCCCCAAGAGAGGCAGGGTAATCCTTTCTCCTTGACAGACGATGCAGCTTATAGCGTGCACCTGTCGGGGTTCGCTTTTCAAACTTATCACGAGCTTTGATAAGTTTGTCGTTCCAAGCGTCACGACCTACATCCTCGAGATTATGGATGTAGGCGTTCCACGCCTGAAGTAGTGAGGGACCATCACGTTTGTGATTCCCACTGTACCATCGATGTCTGAAGAAAGCATCGATGAAGAATTCCATGTTCAGCGCGATAGTCTTTCGCGCTGGGGTCAAGGTGATGAATCTCTGACGAATCGAACAATCGTGTTCGATAACGATCACTTGTCGTCGCCGACAAGTGATCCATGACAGATTTAGGAGGCATCCATGCCTTTTTTCTGGAGCGAGACGCAACACATTGCGGTCCCGCTCTTCCTGCGACGTGCCGACAGAAGTACTGGCACCTCGCTGTGAAGTGGTGTCCATTGGAGAAACGACACCACTATTAGCGCCCGAGTCTCGCGACCTCGAGCGCCTTCGCTTCGGCGATGGTTCATCTGACTCATCAGATGAACCAAAGATGCTGCGACGCAAAGCATCGTCCATGCCACGCTTGGCAGGCGGCTTGGATTCAATTGCCGTCGATACGGATCCGTCATCCGTATCAGGAGAGTACGAGACACCGAGCTCGTACTCTGTGAAGACACGAGTGTCTTCATGACCAGCGCCTGCATCACCAGGTGATACAGGCTGAGTCGATTCAGCAACCGATGGGACATCAGTTGCTGTAGTTTTCTGCTTCGGCGTCCGCACAGAGACGTGCAGACGCGCTCTCGGCGGCCTTGCTCGCGCATCGCATGGGCTTGTTTACCATGCGATGAGATGTTGGAAAGTGGACGCGGACCAACAAGTGCAAACCCCGTCCCAAATGATTTGGGACGAGTATCCATTTAGTCAATCAGTCACTAAAGTGACTGATGGTTAAGGGGGGTGATGTAACGGGGTGAATCGTTACATAACAATTTATAAGAAATTGTTAATAGAATATAACTATAAGAGTTATATTCTCAGAATATTGTCATAAGGACAATATTCTGTAGCACTTCCAAGTAGTTCTAATTGGTTGATATAGGCCATTATATCAACCAACGAAGACGCGCCACGACAGACGCACGCAATGAGTGGTGAGCAGATAACTGATTTACACATTTGTATTTAGACATAGTTAGATGAAGATAAATAGTGATTTATTGCAGACATTAACTATTATAAATACAGTTCTACTTTTTACTCTAACCGACCATCCGTTGCACGACTATGGACAAAAATGTCGTCACAGTACGTTTGTGCGTAACCTCGATGAGGTTTGGACAGTTGCGCCACCAGACGGATAAAAGTAGCCGGGCATCAGACAGCTCTTTTGGCATAACAAGCCACTATGAAAGCATACCGCCGGAGTACTCACCGCTGCGAGCGGAATATCACTCGCTCGCATGAGCAGCTGGTAACATCCATAGACTAAGTCAAGTGCATTGCACAATGTTCATCTTACCATATTGTTCCACAACATAATTTCTAGGAATAGGCGTCTGAACCGGTATAGCGGCTGCATGTAGCTTAATATAAGCATGCACAGTATTCCACTTGCCATTTATCTTCTTGACACAAAATATCGGTGTCGAGTGCGGAGATTTACTCTCACGAACCACTCCAGCCGTGTGCTGAGCACAAAAGAAATCGTCAATGACGTCACACTGTTCTTCAGGCAAAGGCCACTACCGTATTACGCAGTATTTAGCTCCTGAAACTAAGTCAATCTCATGACGTACACCTCTATCAGGTGGTATGGTAGATGTTGGATTGTGACACACCACATCTTGAGTTTCCTTCATTAAAGGATATAACGGATCCAAAGGATCTTTAAGTATCGAAGATCCACTTCGTGCACTAAGTGCCGCCTTTGTGTTTTCTAGGACAGAATCATCCATTAGTGAGGACGAGTTCAGCATAGCATCGGGTCTAATGACCACTACTGCGGATAAATCTCCTGCCTTTTAGGCCTGGCTAAACTCGCCGTCAGACATTTCGATCAACTCACACAGAGCATCCAAAGATGGAAGGGTTTTATGGGTAACATTGCCACCAACCTGACCAGTCACTCCGTTAACAAGCGTATATAGTGCATTACCTTTCTCAATCATTGACTGTATGGACGCCTGGCTCTTTACAGTTGCTACCTGGCGTCCAAGTCGTCTCTTGGAGACCTTACACCCCTAAGGGGTCGGGACCATACCGTCTCCTTTACTACTAATAATAATGGTGCGCTCTATACTAGACTTGATGTCTTGACCGACCTCCGGTGAAGTGCTACATAACTCGAACTATTCACCCAGTGGATTTCGACCTGCCACTCCACGTACATTATGTGGGCCTAGCCTTGAACTGAAAGGCGTTTCGCCAACAATGTCATTACCAACATTGGGTGTGGTGCCTACACGGCCGACCACACTCGGTATAACTTCACGTGCCACCTCACACACATCAAAAGGAATCACTTTCTTGATAATTTCTCCCTTGACCAACCATGCTTTCAGCAAGCGGAGGCTCGTCATCACAGCGAGTAACACTTAACGAAGCACGTTCCGTATCACCAATATTCTACGAGCTACTCTCGGAATCTGTGTTTACAACATTGGAGTTAGACAACCCAGACATTCCAATGTCCAGCACATTAACATCTTCGGTCAAAGGCTCGCGCCAGTAGTGCTTCTTTTGCCTAGCGAAGGTTGGTTCATGACTCTCCAAAACTACGCTAGGAAAGTTGCGCGTGGCGCTTAAGGTCTTAGACCTCCAATCAATCCATGGCCCTTGGCGTTCAAACCAAGCCGAACCAAGGATGCGATCGTATCTCGAGTCCAAATCAAGGACAAGACAGCGTTTAATGCTGTCAAAGTTGATAAAGTGTATACCTAAGTTCAATGAAACTTTAGGCACAGTTACGCGACTTCCAGTCTTTAAACGAACCGTGATAAAATAACCCTTATGCGCTGTAAGCGCCTCAGCATAACGCTAGAATCCTACAAGGGAACGACGTCGAGCATAATTGTAAGACGCTCCAGAGTCGATCAATATCGACCAAGGCCTCTCAAAGCTCTTAATTTTCGCCTTGGCGACTAACAAGCCAGACTTGTATCCACGCTCCATACCAATGAGTACGGGTTTCTTTGGGTCCAAGCCCTGTTTAATTTTACCTCCTAAAGGTGTAACAGAACCCAGTTCTTCCCCAGTAGGACTCCCCCGCGCCTACTGCGTGTCGGCATTTCTCTGCGCCATACCAGACTTCTGGCTTGATGTTAAATATTGGCTTGAAGCCTGACGCTGTTTACGCAAAGGCCAACCAGGCTGCAAGTGTTTAGTGCTTCCGCACGTGAAACATCGTCGTACGACGCGTTGCTGCTTAGCAATTTGAAATTCAACTTCATCTTCAGCATGGCTGAGATCCATCGTTTTTGGCCAATTAAAGACCGGACCACTCGTGGAATTTGCTTTTGCCGAGCTAGGGTTGTACCCATTCCAGCCAAGCCTGGTCGACTTAAAGTTGTAATCAGCATTTAGAGAAATTCTCACGGCCTCTTCGAAAGTAAAGGGGGTGAACCCGAAAAACCTCGATTCTGGCAATGCCAGTACGAAGACTTTCCATGAAGATAGTCACATGGACTGCCTCAGGCACAAAGTCAGACTGCATTGCACCCTGAGTGTTCTCAACTCTTGGACATAGTCCGATAATTCATTCTTACCCTGGCGGGTAGAAAGAAAGCGTGAGCCCACGCTTCGGTAAGCTTGGTTAGGTGGTGAGAACGCCTGTACCAATTGTGACTTGAGCGACTCCCATGTGGGAAACGATATGTCCACCGAAGTGCTACACGTCAAGGCCCAGTCTCTAGCTCTACCATTGAGCTTCGAGATAGCCAGCGAGACCTGTTGATGGTCAAGCGTGATCAGACCTGATCTCATGGCCATCTCGATCTCACGGATCCAGAGGATGAGGTTCTCACCCTCCTTACCGGGGTAATTCTTAACTTCTACTCTAAGTGGACGAGGCTTAGCTTCTTCGTCTGGTACAGACACGTAGCGTGTAGGCATAGCTGACGCTATTTGGTCTTGGACCTGCCCTAAAAGGGTTGCTTCATACTGCATGAAGCTTTCAACACGTGCATTTAGCGCTTCAGGGCATTGTGAAACAAGGAACTCCACGTACTCTGGACCCAAAGATTCGGCCATCTTATCAAATGCGACCTTTTGGGCGTCCGAGAGGGGACTGGGGGTTTCCATCCCTACAGAGGATCAGTCTTATACACTCAGGCGTAGATTGATTACAAGTGCTGTAGCGGAGCTATACACCTCCTTAATTCAGAGGAAGACTTAACGCTCAACGAGCAACTTAGTTTTAAAGAACTAGACTCAATTAGTCAACAAGCGTAAAGCTTCTGGTCCTTGTTCCAGAGGACCCAACGATTCAATATATCGATAGCACTTCGTGCTCAAGAGTAACTGGCTACCTCAAGGAGGTGTTGCTAACTCTTAATGATTAGTGATCGACGACTAAAGACGCCTCGCAAGGCACGTGTCTTTAAGATTAAAAGGGAAACTGAATTTTGTTTACATTTACACCTATGGAATATCTTAATCCTAATCGATACACTTATGTCCTAAATTAGTACAACTAAGATCTCTCCTATCTGGTGGCTGACACCAGTCAGCCCCTATAAACCGATAAGATATTCTACGTCTCTTTTGGTAAGAAATCATCCGTGTTGTCTAATACACAGGCTACCAAGTACCCAACTGCGTGTTATTCCTTAAAAATACATGTTCAAGAAGGCCGACTTCATCACGGGAGTACAATCGTGTTTTTGGTAAGTGTCATAGTAACAGGCATTGATAACGGACGTACAGTCAGTCGTTTATTGGTCTCGACAATTTAGGCAGTATGCAAAAAGCTTAGAGGTAGCAAGAATATGCGAACTAAGGACCTAACAATTATATTCACTTCGGATTTATCTCCTACCCAACACAGCTACATTAGAAGAGCGATTGTGCATTAAAGCAGGGAACGATGTTAGCTCACGGTGACAAATGCACAGTTTATAACACCATTATCTGCTGATTGTTATGGTCGGCGCAAATGTATCGAGAGGTAAAGCGATCGGGGAGAGCGTTATGCCATCAGCACCGACGAAAGCATGGCAGATTTGACATGCGAACATGTCTGGTAGACTTTCGCATCATCCAACTGCTTTGACAATCTACCACTTCTACTGCTTTGCAGCAAAAGCGTAAGACACTGCGCGAAATGTGCTGCAATTCAGGGTTGGTCCACTTGCTGCACCTGATCTGCGGTGTACCTTCTCTGCTGTCGTAAACAAAGCTGGCTGGTTGTCTCCTCACACTGACATTGTCAGGGCCATTCATTGTACGGAAAGCGGAACGGACTTACTGATTGCCCGCACAAGCGATGGACAGCGGTGGTTACGTCTCGTTCTCTTACCACACATATGCAGGTAGCTCCTTCAAACACACATTTTCAACCGAAGGTTGTTGCCGCACATGTTGAACTGGATCGACTGTGCTGTCTAAAGTGAACACAACAGCTGTAACACGTTCAATCCATCTTTGTTAGCAAATGAAAGCTAACGGACTCATCCCACGCGTCCATCAATCTCGTAAACCAGTTTACCTCCATTCTACTCGCACCAGACGCCTCGGTGTGCTAGCTGGAAGTGGAGTCCCCGCAATGCAGATTTACGCCGGTGTGCCGCTCGTGGTGACGGTACCGTCGTACACATCCGTGATGCCAAAGCAGTTTTCCGCGATATGAGCAGGCACAGTCATGTCAAATGCAGGCATTTTAGCCATACACGACTTGTCCAGACGTGCGAGGTCACCATTGCAGGAGACGAACGAGGCCAGCAGCTCCATAGCGCAACTCGTTTCGCTCTCGCCGAATGCGGTATCATCAAGTGTGACGTGGCCCGAGAAGTCGAATACAACGAGTTCTTTTTTGGAGGTTTCGAGCGCCTCGTAAATGTACTCACTGTACTTGTGATGAGCCTGTACGTCCAGCTTTCCACTCAGCAGTAGCACGCTGGCTTCGCTGGAAACGACAGCAGCCTCGTTCCAAAAGTGGTCCTTTGAGTATGCGATCGGATTGGCTTCGTAATTGCCGAAGGTATATTCCTTACACACCGGCGACGGGTCTTTCGTGTATGCGCAATACAGGGGAATAGAGTCGTACATTCCCAGATACGAGATGCTCAGGTTTTTGTGCTGAGCTTCCAACTCGGCGTAGGTTGGCATAGGATTAGGCGACATTTCGGAGAAGATGTTCATTTGGTAGAACAAATTTGAAATCAGAGCATCATCTGCGATTCCTCCATCTTGAGTGATGATCGTGAAGAAATGCGTCAAGATCTCCACGTCTGAAGGCTCGCAGCGATTGAGTCTGTAAATCGCCGGTGGAATCGCGGAACGCATGGGCGGACCCCTTGCAAGCCCGCCAAGTGTCCGCCGAAGGCCACTGGATGGTTCATCCTCAGTAAAGTTCCGAACCAAGGTAGCGCATGTCGAGTTGGGATCCTTGTCGAACTTCGACATCACGTCACGAAGCGTGGCAGGCAAGGTAGCAGTTTTGAAGTGAGAGCTGCACTCAGTGTATTCAGAACACAGCTCCAAAAAGTGCTCGCTCACTTCATTGAACTCAACGTCCCCCTTTACCCAATATGTCTTCTTGTCCAACGGTACCACAGAGGCCGCGGGGCTGTCCAAGACGTACCCAGTCACCCCCGATGGATTCATCTGCATCAGACGTTGGATCATCAAAGTTGCGATGTGGCTACTACCGTACATGATATTACTCGCGCCATGTGCGAGCTTGGGGAGGAGCGTGAAAACATCCATAGCTGCGCTTGTGACCGAGAACGAAGCGAGATCTCCATACTTGTTCTGCAGTTCCCGAGCACAAGCGGCAACTTCCGTGAGATCGATGTTGGCGCCAGACGGGGATCCACTCGTCATGGCTTGCGATGATACGCAGTCCAGTCGCGAACTGCGTCCCGTGCCGCGGAGGTCCATCGTAAGCATGTTAACTGATCCATTCAGGCGCTTGTGTAGCGTCACCATCGAAGCTTCGGCTAGTGTGTACAAGAACCTTCAGTTAGTACAACACGAAGATTCGCTTACTTACCTTCGTTGGAGGCTCCACTTGCGAACATCCACACGTTCGTTGCATGGTCTGCGTTGGCTCCCGTGGCAGGCAGCATCTTGACGAACACGTTGATTGTCGGGTACACATTCGGCAGGAGCTTACAGACATCAGTGTAACACAACGGGACCCCAACGGTCAAGCACTGGGCTCGGTATTCCTCTTGCCCTTCACCGGCAAAGGTGTAGGCTGAGCAGGCGTGCCATCCGTTCAGCGGCAGCTCCGATGAGGTATTATAAACTGCCGAAGTTTGTCCAATCAAGCCGGCTGCGACAATGCTGAGCGCGTGATGGAGATGCATCTACACTGGTGCTGATGTTGTCGAGGTCCACGAAATCGAGAAATGGTTCTTGTGTTCGCACGCCAAAAGCAATACCGTCGAACTGCACCGTAGCTCACGAGGCCATCGAGCGCCTGATCGAGAAAACGTCTCATCGCGGAACGATGGGACACGGCCGCGTGATGCACCCTGCTTCATCCACAAAAGCCACCATCGACAGGAAAAGTGCACGCAAAGCCGGGCGTGCTGATGTAGCTTCGTGGGCTTGTGTGTAACGGGGTGAACCGCTACATAACAATTTATAAGAATTTGCTAATAGAATATAACTATAAGAGTTATATTCTCAGAATATTGTCATAAGGACAAATATTCTGTAGCACTTACGAGTAGTTCCTAATTGGTTGATATAGGCCATTATATCAACCAACGAAGACACGCCACGACAGACACACGCAATGAGTGGTGAGCAGATAGTTGATATGCACATTTGTATTCAGACATAGTTAGATGAAGATAAACAGTGATTTATTGCAGACATTAACTATTATAAATACAGTTCTACTTTTTACTTTAAACTAAGTACTCGCTTCTTCTTACCGGCTTCCTCTGCACGTACAAGTGTACGTGAAGTTCCGAGGCACCGCCTTATTCTGTCATTAGAATAAGTAGCTTGTACTGTCACCAGTACAAGCTTCAGGGTGCCCCGTTACACCTGGTAGCACTTCGTAGTCCGTCCAAGGACCACGTTCACATCTAACATGAATATGTTGGATGATGAAGATGACCAAAGCTTTCACGCTACGCGTGACGGCCACTCCCATTTGAGCGATGTCGAATGGGATGCGGCTGAACGGATGGGTTTAACCATGGGCATCCATGCTGTTAGCGTCATGCTAGAGGCTCTCAATAGAGATGCCCAACATGCTACTATCGCCAAGTTCATTCAAAATGAACTTGACGCAGAACGCGAGAAAGTAGCCTTGCTCCACCAACAAGGTTCTAAACAAGCAGAGTTGTTGAGAGAACAAGGTGCTCAACAGTTTGAACTGTTGAGACAGCAGCAGGCTGCTGCTGGCGGGTCTATGCACTCGCGTCGACCCGAGACTTTGAAGATTGACATCTCCAAGTATAGGGGGGGTCAAAGAAGACTCCCTTTTGAGATGGTTCGTCGAATTGGATGACGCCATAAGGGCGCGTCGCATCAACGACGGGGATATGAAAGTAGCATTTGCCCAATCGAATTTGGCAGGACGTGCCAAGACTTGGGCACTGGGGCTCAAGTCGCACGACCCATATGCGTTTGGGTCGTTGGAAGTCTTCAAGTCGCGGCTCAGACAAACGTTTGAACCGCCTAGAGCTGAGTTCAGAGCTCGAACCGAACTCTTGAAGCTCAAACAGGGTAAGCGTGATGTGCACGCTTACGCACAACATATACGACATCTCACGAGTTGTATAAGTTCCAATCCGGTGGATGAACACACGCTGGTTTCGGTGTTCATGCAGGGTCTTGCGGATGGTCCCGTCAAGACTCACCTGTTCCGGCTTGAACTAGATTCACTAGAACAAGCCATTTCCATTGCGGAGCAGGAAGACTTCAGTATGAGACAGGCTCGCGCCAGCTCGACATCATATCGTCAACCGAGACGATATGACAGCGGAGGTCCAGAGCCGATGGAACTCTGTTATGTAGAGAGCGAGAAGGCTCGCTCTACAGACACAAGAAGTTGCATAAATGCAACAGATGTCAAAAGACAGGACACTACGCTTACGAGTGTAGTGCCCCTCGTCCAGTGTCTCGCAACACTGGGCGTAATGACCATGAGAAAGGGGCAGGGACGCGGGTCCGCTGTTGGTGCAAAGACGCAACAACGGGATGGACCGTCAAAAAACGGACAGGATCAGTAGGTGCGGAGCGCCCTACTGGTCCAGCAACTTCAAGAGAGTTTGTAGGCCTCTTGATGAAGGTTGCTCCCAACACACAAACGTTGTGCGTTGCTGCTCTAGGTAATGAGGTCTCACTCATTACCTTGAAACTCGAAGTGACAAATAAGTTGTCCCTTCGAGCTCTAGTCGATTGTGGGGCGTCCAACAATTTTGTACGACGCAAATCGCTAGAAGATGGTCACTTTAAGTTCAGTGAATGTGACACACCTCCTACGAGGATGACGGTATGTCTTGCGACAGGCGCATCCGTAACCGTCATGAAGCGTATAGTGAAGATCCACTATACGCTAGAAGATACCCAATATGACGATGAATTTATCGTATTGGATTTGGATGACAAATTTGATGTCATCCTTGGAATACCGTGGCTCAGAAGGTAGGAACCACGGGTTAACTCGCAACATCGAACAGTAACGATGCCTGCCGCTTGTTCATCAGATGGCCATCTGATGAACGTCTTGGAGCGTCCACAATCGTGTGGATGTACTACGAGTGAGTGCGATGGCCTCACTTGTGGTACGGTCGTTAGTAAGACTGCATAGAACCTTAGTGTAACGAACGGTTACACTTCGGAGCAAGATTCCGGCGGCTGTGAGTAAACACGGGCTGCGCCGAGTCCACCACTCGATTACGTCGAGTGTACCGGGACAAAGATGTATCCATAGCGGGGAACATCTAGAAGAGAAACCATCGATCGCTCAGGTTAAGCGAAACGATAATCCTAGATCGACTGGAGAGTCTTTCGTAGAGGATCTCGCTGTGGTTGCGCAACCCCAGCTAGAGGAAGTTAAGGGAATAAGTCCCGATATTACAAATACGGTGGAAATAAGTTCCCCGAAACCCGCGGGAATAAGTCCCCGGGAAGCCGAAGGAATAAGTCCTTCGAAGCCTGAGGGAATAAGTCCCCAGGAAATGACAGAGACACTGAATGTCCTAGTCAATGATGGATCAAGTGAAGGCGCTATACACTTGATCTGATTGCGCCTCCGAAGTTGACTTCGGAGATCACTCAGTTGCCAACGCTCGAACATATAAGGCTCTTGCATGATCTGCGTAGTGGCAAAGTCAAGCAGATCTGCGTACTCGTCGCTGACGACGAGTGTGTAGCCGACATAAGGTCAGCAACAGTGTTCACTGAGAACGAGAGAGTTCTCAGTAGTTCATCTATGGACGAGAGTGTCCTAGATGAAAAGAAACGAGTTGAGCGATATGACTTGCAATCGTGGGAATCGCTCAAGACAAATCCTCTCTATGAAGATTTGGTTGAATTCAAGGATGTATTCCCTGAAACTGTTCCGTGCGAATTACCGAAGGATAAAGGTATTCGACACGAGGTCGAGCTTAAACCAGGCTCGAAGTAATGTGTCATGAAGTAGTGGCCACTGCCTCGTGAACAAGTACTTGCGATTGACAAGTTCTTTGCCGATCGTTTAGCTGCGAGTCATGTGAGGGAATCAAATTCCCCGCATAGCTCTCCGACCTTCTGTGTGCGAAAAGCAAAAGGAGGGTGGCGGATAGTGCATGCATTTAATAATTTTAATGATGCAACGGTACTGGCTCAGACACCGATACCAATGAAGGGCGTAATCATTGATGGTATAGCAAAAAGTACCATCTTTTCGTTAATGGATTTGATGGATGGTTTCCATCAAATCCTTCTGCGAGAACGGGATATACCCTATACCGCAGTTAGCACGCCTAGCGGCATGCTCTGGGAGTGGCTAGTAATGCCACAAGGGATCAGTAATGCCCCTGCCACGTTCAACAGATGTGTATCACATCTGTTGAGACCAGCGCAAGAATTCGCACCGAGTTATTTCGATGACGTATTCATCCATAGTCGGGCTATGGATGGAAAGTCGGACGTTGAGGTTCAAAGGTACCACGTCCGACAGGTTCTTACAATCATGCGAAAGCATCAATTGTATGCAAACCTCAAGAAGTGTATATTTGCAGCAAGCGAAATACCACTTCTTAAGTGCATCGTTGGTAAGAACGGTGTACGTCCTGATCCCAAAAATTTCAAGATAATCACCGACTGGCCTGTGCCGGTTGATGTCAAAGGTCTTCGAAAATTCCTTGGGCTAGCGGCGTATTTGGATTAGTATTCACGCAATTACGCCGAGATGACTGTGTACCTCTCTCGTTTGTTGAAAAAGAACGAGAGGTGGTTATGGAACGCTGAATGTCAACGCTTCTTTGAGGGTATCAAGCAGAGCTTGATACAATCCCCAGTCCTAGCAATAGCCGATCAGGACAGGCCATTTCATGTGGTCCGTGATGCCAGCGATTTCGCAATCGGCTGTGCATTAATGCAGTACGATCTTGAAGGCGTTGAACGCGTCGTCTGCTATCAGTCGAGTCAGCTGCAACCAGCTGAGTGGAACTACCCAGTGCACGACAAGAAACTCCTTGCCATGAAGTATGCACTCGCGAAGTTCAGAGTCTATCTATTAGGAGATAGACCCTTCATTGTTTACACTGACCATGCGTCGTTACGCACGGCAGTGAACATCCCACGCCTTTCACAACGAATGGCGCGGTGGTTGTCATTCTTTGCGGAATACAACCTTACGGTAGAGTACAAACCAGGACGACTTAACGTCGTCGCTGATGCACTCTCACGTCGTCCCGACTTTGAATTAGTCATAAAACCCAATAGTGAGGCAGTCACTGTTGCGGTTATGACGTCCTCAGTCCCATCTACAACGTTGTATGATTATGTGAGGCGGGCGTACGCCCACGATGGTGAGACTGTGAAGTTGTTCACACATCTCTCACAACCATCTCAAGAATCGTTGATACGATTGTCGTCTGCGTATCGATCTGCATCAGATCGATACACTACTCGCACCGGGGTTTACTGTTTCACACATCCGTCACTGGTGACACACCACGTGTTGTCATTCCAGATGATACTGATCTGTGTTTGCGGATCATGTTCGAGTATCACGATGCTCCTATAGGAGGACATCGTGGCCGAGAGAAACATATCTCACGGTGAGTCGAGACTTTTGCTGGCCCCGCCAGTATCAGTTTGTGCGAAAGTATGTTCTCGAAAGCGAAGTCTGTCAACGAGTGGAGTCAAGTCCTTCACTGCGTGCACCGTTACAGCCTCTACCAGTTCCGGCTGAGTGCTGGGAATCCATCTCAATGGATTTCGTCTTCGTGTTACCCAAAGACGCACGCGGGAATACGGGTATTCTCGTATTTGTTGACAGATTCAGCAAAATGGTACAACTTGTGGCTGTACCAGAGTCAATTACAGCAAGTGGCTGTGCTGTGTCTTTATCGACACCATCTTCCGACTTCATGGTTTCCCCCGTGAGCTCGTATCAGACAGAGATCCACGCTTCACTGCTGATTTCTGGCGCTCCGTGTTCAAATCACTCGGAACGCGCTCGAAGATGTCGACATTTGATCATCCAGAGTCAGATGGTCAGACGGAACGTGCCAATCGTGTCCTTGAAGAGATACTTCGAGGATACGTACACTCCTTTAAGAGTTGGAGTGAGTTTTTGCCGATGGTAGAGTTTGCCATCAACAACTCGGTGCATGCGTCCACGACACATACACCGTTTTACGTGAATGGCTTGCGCCATCCGCGTGTACCCACCTTACTAGAGTGTGACTCTGGTTTAAGGGGGGGAGGGATTCGCGCGAGCAAAAGCCGATTTGGTTCACGCTCATCACGCTCTGACGAAGAGGTCATTGCGTTAGATGCCGATATCGACAACATCGATATCGAAGAAGATGATGCCAGTGAGAGTGCGGAAGCCCTCACTGAAGAAAAGATTGATGTTGCTGCAGTGCACTCACAGCGCACTGAAGCTAACGAGTCATCAGATGAGTTCTTACTGGCTCGTGAAACGGTAGTCCGTTTTGTGCAAGACTCCATCGCCGAAGCGGTGGATAAGCAAAAGCAAAACGCTGACAAGAATGGAAGGGCAAACACTCTTTTATTTAGTAAAGGTGACTTAGTCCTACTGTCTACGGTTAATCTACCAAAGCATGTAGTGACTAACTTGGGTAGCAGTAAACTACTACCCAAGTACATTGGCCCATTTCGTGTATTGCACCGCCTAGGCAATGCATACACGATCGAATTACCACGTAAGATGCGAACGCATCCCACGTTTTACGTTGGTCGGCTTAAGCCGTACCATCAGTACGCTGCTTCTTCCGATGAAGAACGCCCTTGCGCTCAAGCATCTCGCAGAGAGCCTTGTGCTCCCGATGGTGGGCATCAACAAGGGTCTGAAGAGCAGCTATCTCATCCCGAGACCAATCAGCAATCCCACGAGCTACCCTTAGCTCGTCACGAAGAGATGTCAGAGATCTCTCGTTCTCGAGCTGAGCAAAGGCAAACTCAGCTCGATGCTTCGAGGCAGTGTCCGCCATTTGGAGACGCCTATTCCGCTCATGCTCGAGATCGTCGCGTAACCCTTGCGTTACGCGATCAAAGAAGCTCTCGGGAACACACCGATCCACATGATCGTGTGGAGAGCGTCTTTCCTCCTCCTCCACCTCCATTAGAGGACTCTCGCGGTGGCCAGCGCTATCTGGTTGAGCAGCTGTTGAACCACCGCGACGTGAACGGACGTTGGACGAGTTACCTCGTCCGGTGGCGCGGCTATCCCCCGTCCTTGGATACTTGGGAGCCCCGCTCCTAACTGATGGTTGACGTACTGGGTCTGGTTGAGCAGTACGACGCGGCACATCCTGGCTTGAAGAAGGACCGCCGGAGAAAGTCTTCCCGGCACGGTCATAAGGGGATTTCAGGTTGTCAATCCCTTCGTACATCTCACTAGAGATACGTACGCACCACCACGGGCTAGTAAGGAGGTTAGCCTCCTTAGGTGCTCGCGCTGAGTTGTTTACACAACAGAAGCACGGGTCTCCCCAGGAAAGACAGGGTAACCCACCCTCCTTAGACAGACGATGCAGCTTGTAGCGTGCAC